ATTTAGGAAGCTCGATAATTAACGTATACCAAACGCGGGTCAAAATTGGGTGTCAACAAAGATTTATTAAAAATTACTCATCTAATTTTTCCTTTAAAATAATGGGCAACTTTCATATATAGCAAACAAAAATTTTATATTTATATGCTATAGTAAAGTTTGCATAATTGTGCTCCATAGCAAACATAAAACTGTATAATTCACTATACATATACAATTGTATAATTCGCTGGCCTAAATTGTATAATTCGTTGGCTTATTTCGCTGCAATTGTATAATTCGCTATCCTATTTCACTGCGATTGTATAATGCACAATTGTATAATTCGCTGCCTATTTCGCTGCAATATTTTTATGAAATTTGCTTTGCATACAGTTGAATCGAATTAAAATGTATATATATTGCATAATTATAAGTGTATAGCAAGAAAATATATGTTTTTCTCTCGCTTTATACAAAAACATAAACACAATATATAAACTTCTATTGTATAAAGTTAGAGAAAATTGTATTTCACTGCAATTGTATAATTCGCAATTGTATAATTCGTTTGCCTTTTTCTCTGCAATATTTGAAGTAAAATGTTTATAAATTGTATAATTAAGTGTATAACACGAAGATATATATTTTTGCATGTGTATATATAATTTTCTCTCGCTTTATACAAAACAGAAACAGATTTATACACTTCTGTGTATAAAGCGAGGGAGGCGAGCGAGAATGGAGAGTGGCGAGCGAGATTTTTGGGAGACAGACGCCTGACAAACTTTAGCTAAAGTTTGTTATGGAGCACAATTAAATCAAACCCTAGCTACTCCATTTATTTTAGGTTATTGATTTGCTATTATATATGTTTTACTTAAAAAAAATACTATAAATTAGTTTTATTAAAAATGGTTTTGAAGGTGACTCGATTTGAAAAATCAATTAATCTCATTGTTTAAGAAAAATCGACTTTTCAAAATTATGGAGTCGCCACTTGATTTTGATAAAATCAAGAAAAAATTTCAAAAGATTTAAAACAGATTAAAATCAATTGAAAAACAAAGGTTCGAAGTTCAATGTACATCCCGAGAAGGTATTAGGCCCTCGGGATGCCCGCTAACTCGCAGTTGACCGGCGATTTGACTAAATGACTTAAAGAGAAAATTTATTTCATTTTATTATTATTATTATTATTATTATTTATTTATTTCTAAAGGAGATATTCAAAGAGACTTAATTTAAGGAAAACTAATTTGTGATAAAAGTAAATGAAATAAAATAAGTAAATAAAATAGTAAAATTTAAAATAATAAAACATGGCTATCATTTAGGAGATTATTTAAATTATACCAAAACACTAATTAATTCAAACAAATATTAAACAAAGAGAGAAAATATTTGAACTTGGGCTTAATTGCCCAAATTCATTCAATTGGGCATTGGCCCACCTGTCCTAATCTAATAATTTAGATTTGGGCCCTTTTACCAATTAAAATCCTGCAAAAAAAATATTTGGCCCCTTGGGCCTATTAAAAAAATCTGCTGCCCTGGCCCATCTCCTGAAAAGAAATTAAAGTATACAAAATGATGGTATACTGTATATATCCAATCCGTATTGAACTTTTGATCCCTGTATTTGTTTGAATACGAGTTCTCATGATTTGCCCTGTATTTCCCATATCGTTTCTGCGTATTTACCTGTATAATTTTTTAAACCTGTTTAACAATTGTATATCGTCGCCCAAAAGATGTATACCAATGTATACGGGCTGCACCCTATGTACATATTCTTGGCTAATCTCGTATTTTAATTAGAATCGGCGTCCCCATACGTTAACCTGCAATTCACATTTTTTACACATATTCATAATATAGCGTTTCTGTATATCACGGTATACAGGATGTATATCAGCCTGATTTTCAACTTTCGAAAGTTGAAAACTCTCTTTCAGCAGTGTACTTCCACTGCCATCATCCCAGATTTTGAGTTCGGAGTTCCTGTGCATTTTCTACCTGTATATCATGGTATAAAACATGTATATGGCTGGTATACAGCTTCTCAACATCTGCAACTGTAATTTCCAGCAACACTGCTGTGACTCCTCTGCTCCATGAACCAGCAGTTCAACTGACTTGAAGACGGGAGAGACTCAAGGAAATGCAAGAGATGAGTCCATCATGGACTCGAAAGGGGTTCACATGCACAAGAAAGAAAAATAAAATAAAATGATAAGCAATAGCATCCAATAATAATATCTCCTAACCTCCGATAAAAGGATTGACCGAACAACAAGTAATAACTATAAACGAAACCACACGTCAACAAAGCAAAGGGTTGGCAGTGATCATGAGCTTGGCAAATGCTAAGGGAGAAAGAAAATTAAGGGAGAAATCATAGTGATCAGACACTTATACTACAAAACCTCATTTTTAACAAATGGACTATGCAAATTTAAAGCCGTAATCAAAGAACGAGTTCAAATGCCACAAACAAGAGATGATCAATAAATCAGCGAAACCAAACTTGGCAACTGCAACATTGGATCACATTTAAGATCAAATTAATTAACTTCTTAGCACCGACTACACAACACTCGAATAAGCCAAAGTGTATCTCTGTGAGATACTAATTTCAGAAGGGAATGAACAAACTTGAACTCAACAGCCTTCCCCCACCAATTTTAACTACAAGTTAATCCATTTAAATGAAGAAACTAATAACGTCACACAGACAGTCACTTAAAGCAAGATTTAAAGGGATAACGATACTCATTTATCATGCTTGTAAGAGAAATCATCAACAATAAAGGAAAGAGGGAAAGCAGTGAAATCAATACTACCATATCTGACAAACATGAGGATGATTCGAATATGATTTGCAAGAAGAAAAGAAAGAAACACCATATGGATCGGAGATGTATTTTGATAGACTAAATTTCCCTTATGTATAACTGAGCTACTGGAAACCATTTCGGCTGACATCAAACACAAAGAAAAAAAAACAAAATGCGATCCAAAACACGACATGTTTAACCGTATGACATTAATAGAGTTTGATCGCTACTACTATTAGCAACAGCAGGTTTCTTGAACATGAATCTCAAGGCTGCAATTTCCGACAATAGAGAGCATACACTTTATACTCAAACAAACAAATCACACACAAACTGGTGCTATAACGTCTATTAGTTATCCAATCAGCGAGAAAAATAACAGGTAAAACAAACAGAGGCATTGAAAAAGGGGATAAAATCAACATAAAATTCATAAGGGGGCATTTGAAAACTTCATCCTATTCCTAAACGCAACATTCAGCTGACAAACGAATTAAGATCAAAAGGAAATTTACCTTTCTTGGTGCAGCGAACTAGAACAACACGAGTGGGATAGCAAGCTTCCACCACCGAACTTAGACTCAAACACAAGACACTAGCAACTCTTCCGTCTATCAGAAGTTTTCAAAGTATTTGCAATGTTTTCTCGAATTTCTTGGTATTTCAATGATAAACAGAAAGAAATTTACTCCGGCAGACCCTTACAACGAAATTTCAACTAAAAATTTTCCCACCTCTATTCCGAAAACGGAAGGAGTTTATATAGAGGGAGAATTTTTAGAGTTCTTTTTTTCATCAATTGTAGTATCTATGGGCCAATCCTTTTAGATTTACAATTGTATTTCTATTATAAGAAATGAGGTTTTAACCCACTTTAAGGGAGTGTTGGGCTGAGAATTGTTTTGGGTTGCCATTTTAGTTTGGTGGGCCGTTGAAGTGTGTTGGGATGGAGGGGAGTAATTGGTGTGGGCTGGATTAGGAATTAATCTAGTGGGCTGGGAGAAGAAGAACAAAAAAAATGGGCCTGGAAATTAAAGGGAGTGTGTAAATGGCCCAAAACTAAGATCTTTTGGTGGATTTAAAGAATGGGTTAAATTTGATAAATAGCCAAATTGAGTTAAGATAATAAATTCGGCTAAACCTTAAATAAAACGAATTTGTATTAATTAATCAACGAGCTTCTTTAATTTAGTAATATAATTATTTAAATTATAAAATAGTGGTTCAAAATATAACCATAATTTAAACTATATTAGTTAAATAGAATACTTACTAAAATTAAAATATTTTTGAGATGGTTTTTTGAATAATCATAAAATATACTAATTATATACATAATTATGTAAAATATATATATTATTCAAAAGTTATAAGAAATGACAAAACAATTCAAAATAACACAAACTTTATATTTTTTTTCTTAAAAATTTATAAAACTAATTATTTTAAATTGCTTGGAAAATTTAAGAAGCTCATGAATTAATTTCTATCGGAGATGGTCAAAATTGGGTGTCAACAATATATAATTTTCCTTAAAATAATTTATAGATATTTAGCTATAAGATGATAACTATAATGGGCTCCTTATGGGCTTTTTTCTTGAATACAAAATCGGGCCTCTCAAAAATCTGCCCGGTCCACCCGCTCTCTAGTATCCCATTAGTAGGATTAGCTTGAGTTGCATGAAAATATTGTACCTAATTACACAATCATTAATACTCTATCAACTAGATATACTTAATACTTCTACTATGTATGATATTAATAGCCATTGAAGGCCACTAGTTAATACATAATTATACTAACATGTATCTATGAATAATTATATCAATTTACGAAATATATATATTTATACATAAATACACTAGATACTATCACAAATCACTGAATATATTAGTGTCCAATCAGAAGCAATTGTAACATGCACATATCTAGATAAAACAATACACTGTTAAATTGGATAAATGAAACTAGTACTATATTAAATACGATGAAATAGAGCGATGAAAGAGACAAAAAGTTAAGAGGAGAGCAAGAGAGGAATAATGCAAGATACACTCAACAAAAATAATGGATTAGCCAGAATATTGCTGATAATAATTTAGCATCCCACTAATTTGACTTATCATCAATCTCAAAAATACATCTTTTATACTGTAAAATCAAGAGTTACACCGATTATATTATTTAAAATCTTACTCAAATAGATCATATCAATTTGAATAAAATAAATACATTATAGACCAACATTAAACATGCATCCTATAAATTTGGTCAGTCACATTTTTGAGTTACAAATGTGACCATAAAACCCCTCATAACATGAGAGAAAAAAAAAAGAGGTTAAAAACCTGAACTAATTAACCCCAAAAAACTCGTAGAGTAACTAACACAATAGTTTAATTAGTCCAAATCTTGTTATTAAACATTATTAATTCAACAACATATTATCCCACTAAATCAAAATATCTAGGTCAATTAATTAATTAAGCCCATTGATCTCTTTAGTAATTGCTGGAATGCAACTTGTACTTCTTGCAATCCCAGTAGTACCCTTCTTTGTGACAATTTTATCCCTTGGACTTATAGATTTTGCTCTAAGTATTCCCCTTCCATCTCTACTACTTTTCTTCAACATTTCTCTCATTGCTTCAGCTTGATAAAGAACAGGATAAACCCTACCAAATTTATTAAACTTGCTATGAGAATTCATATGACTACATAATGCTTCTTCATTTTTTCCTCCGTTTTTTCCCGCTTCTTCGTTCACTGCTTCTGCACATAAGCCGCATATCCATTTGCCTGAATATTTTTTTCGAACGCGATCGATATATTCATGTGTGAATTCATCGCTCATACCACAACACTCACACTTTGCATTTTCTACTTCGGAAATTGGTGGTAGATTTGAAGAATCAACGGGACATATTGCGTTCCATTCGAAAGAAATATCGGACATTGTACGTTGTAAATTATCGTTGGAGAGTCTAGGGGGCTTGGTAACGTTTTTTGTTCGAACGTAGGATGATTTTGTAATTGTCTCTCCATGGGGTGCCATTGTGTTTTTTCTTTTTTATGGGTACCAAATGATTACTGCTTTCAAGAAAATGATGATATGTAGATGAATGAGTAAGAGTAACAAGGTTTCTATTTATAGTTGTTGGTTTACAAGTTGTAAGACAAAAAGTAGGAGTTGTGTGGAGTATGGAGATTGAGATGTCAAATATTGTATGTCAATAAGCATGAATTGTGTAGTAATCATGAAAGTGCTAGATTTTTCATGAAGAGCAAGCTCAAGTCTTAACATAAAGGCAAAACTTTTGCATGCTTCTTCATGTGCGTGATGTGATGCTTTTGTGTGAGTATATGTATTTGTGGATATATATTTGTATTGTTGTTATAACCACCGTTTCAATTTATTTGACAATTTTTTATGTTTTCAGAGTCCAACTATTTAAGTTTGATCAGAAATTTGCTCATAAATTTTTTAATTTTTTTGAAATAAAATTTATATATTTGTAAACTACGTATAAAGTACTACGAGTCATAATAATTGATAATTCAAAATGTTTTAAAAATTTATGAAAAATTTACGGTCAAAGATAGACTTATTTGACTCTTGAAATTCGAAAGGTGACATTTAAGATAGGGACGGAGGGAATACTTCTTTAGGGGGAAACAAAGTTCTATTTTTCTAATGGACTCTACTTCATAATGGGAGGATTTACCGTATCTGGTGTCGAGATATTAGTAATTACATTGAGAAATTTATTAAATATATGAAAACTATTTGATGGAAATCTAGTAACAAAGTAAGCTCTTGATCCACCACTCCATGTGAATAACGATATTGCTTAATCTTTATTGTCCTCCTCAAACTTTAAATCTTGAATCAATAGTTTAAAATCAAGATAGAAAAGCAAAAATAAATGATGGAAAATTAGAAAAACAACATACACAAAATTTCGTTCGTAGTCCTATTTAGCGAAGGATTTGGGATGATTAAAAGAATCCGTTAGCAACGAAGTTCATAACACTTTTTTTTTTCATTTCCCTTTATTTAGCATATTTCCTACCTCAACAATGTTCTGATAATTTTTTAAATTTTTTTTTTGACATTTTAATTATTATTTTTTTCTTGTAACTTCTGGAGCTTGACACTAAAAATTACTAGTTAGAAAAGGAGTTGTAGTTATGTCCAGTAAGAAAAAAGAGATCAACTTTCTAGCTAGCAGTCACAAGTTGTCGTTGTTCGACCATTCAAATATATATGTTGTTTTTTTACAAAGAAAATTCAACTCGATGGAGTATTAATTCATCAATCAAATCAGGAGATATATAAATATACACATTACTACATCATTGTCGAACTCCCTGTTCCCGTGACAATGTAGCTATCAATTTATCATGTGGTATACATAGAACTAGTTATTAATTATTAATAGAACGTTATAACAAGCTAAGGTCCCCATCAATCACATGTTTTAAATTTAAAGAATAAAAAATAGGAAGATAATTCACGACCATATATAACTTGCTATGTATTCAATTCATGTCAATATTGATATGTATTGAATCAGGGTTTGAAATCAGGATTTTCATTAATCTAATTCAAAAATATAAAATGTAAAGATTAAAAAAACCAAGTGAATTTAATATTTACTATATATTTAAAAACAGATAATTAATAGCGATTATGCAGTACTTTAGTTGTAGCTTAAATTTGATGCCAATTTAACGGTCGTCATTATAAACATTTATGAAATTGAACTGTTTATATGTATGAGAAAAGATTAGCTAAATAATATTTTTTCGCTAATATTCCGCTCTTTCTTTCATCTCGTAACTTGACTCTTATTTGCAATTTCAATCATAATATATATATATATATATGAAATTCATGTATAATATGTATATCAATTAGATATAGTAAAAAGTGAAGCTTGCGGTTATTTGCATAAGATACCAAAAAATAAAGAAATAAATAAATGGTAAAATTAGAAAGAATAACAAACATTTAGTCTATATTAGGTACTATAACTACACTTTAAGAAAATTGAAAATTGCGGCTACAGTTTTCGCGATTTTTGCTATTCGCCTGATTTATATAATTTGGTTCGTGAGTGTTTAAATTCAGAATTTTATAGTATATGTTTATCCTAGCTATTTGTATATGATATATGAAAAAAATCATCATAAATTAACATGTTTTTATATTGGTAAATAAAATATTCAGACGGAATTCTAAAAAATTCATAAATGTATAAATTCAAAGTACTTATTATGTTTGTATAGTCACAAGTAAAATGTACAAACGTGCAGAAATGTACGAACTGCAACTTCAATAGCAAACACAACTATAACTATGATGCGTAATTATCAAAACTATAGCTATAGAGCCTTATTATATCTATTTTTTTAAAAAAAATTCGTAATAATTTCGGGCATCGGAAGATCCATTGGTGAAAGCCCAGACTTTAATGGGACATAATTTTCCAAGAATTGGGTTTGGGTGGCCCATCTTATCATCAGCCCACCACGATTCTTACATGGACCATAAGAAATCGTGCTTCCTTGGACTACTACTTCCCTGAGGCCTGGTTCAATTGGAGAACAAATTATTTCAAGATTAATTATTGGAAAAATTGTATGAAATAGTAAATTATTAGTTTAAATTAAATATTATAGTCATATTTTTATTTTATTTGTAACTCGTAATAAATATTTTTGTCATCTGATTCGGTATACAATTAGTCATTTTCGATATACAATTACCTTTTTGGTATACAATTACCCGTTCGATATACAATTAGTCATGTTCGATATACAATTACTTGTTCGGTATACAAATGCGTAAAATGTATAAAATGCATTCATATTTGTATAAAGTGAGAGAAAAATGTGTATACAAATACAAATATAAATACAAATACATATACTTTCATATGCACTTATAATTATACAAATTACAATCTATAAATGAATTTATACATTATTATTATACAAATTACAAATATGTAAATGAATTTATACAAAATTGAACAATTTGTATAAACTTTGATGTATCTAACGAATTACACAAATCAAAAGCTCCATAGCAAATATAAAATTTGCTATGAAACGCAATTATTCAAACTATAGGTATAACATAAAAATATAATTTTTATATTTACTATGTGTAAAAGTTGCTCTTAATTCTTATGGGATTAATCGTGCTATTCCATCCTGAAAATTTGGGATAAAATAACATTATAATCCTGAAATAAGTTATTCTGCAATTATGTTCCAACCCAAATAAAACAAACTCACCTAAAATTAATCTCGAAATTAATTATACCTTGTCTCCTCACCAAGCGATCCCTAAGTATCCCGTAACAAAGATTTCCAATCTATTGAACCATTAAAGTTGCAAAAGTGATATTTTTATATTTTTTATCCAAGAGCTTCCACCTACTTTTGGTACTCGGTGATTTGAATCGTGATTTTAAAGATAATTCATATTCATAATTTTTAAATTAAAGGTAAAACGTGCTTATCATATGAGCAGATGTTTCTTATTATTTTCTTTTATTTTAGATATTTCTTATTGTTTTGCACATAACTCTATATAAGCTAAACTCTATTTTTAATAGAGTTTAAAAAAAGAACACAAACAACCTAACAAAATATTAGTGGCCTAAAAGATGAACTCATATAGTCCAATTTAAATTGCATATTTTAGATACCAAATTGTGTTTGTGGGAACACTTTAGTAAAGCTTAATATTTTTGGAATGGTGCCAAAACACCTTTTTAAATAGGAAAACACGTGAAATTAACAATTGTGATTAACTATAAGGCAAATCTTAGAAAGTGGAATAGTGGGCTTCTTTTTGATAACCAATCCCAAACCTGGCTATAAAATACACAAGTACAGTCCAAATGCATAGTACATCTAATTTAGGTAAAACTTAATCTATTGGGCAAAAGCTATTGCAAAATCTTTTAGGGCAAAGGATAAAAATTTCGTACTTTTATAGTAAAATTATCATTTATCTCTTATAAATTTATAATTACAAAAATTTCTTAAATTGATTTAATAATATAAGCGTTGATACATTAATTTGATGTGCGAGATATGTTAATGGTTAAATAAGATGTATTACATTTTATAACACTAATATGATGTACATTTTATACATGATACACTAATCTAATGCGCGAGATACATTAATTTGATGTGCGAGATACATTAATTTGATGCGCTGATACATTAATCTGATGTGTGAATATGACGAATTTTGAGAATTTATAAAACTAATAGAAAATAATGTTAATAAGAGAATTAAAAATTGAAATTTCTGTCATTTAGACAATCTTTTATGTTTTCAACCCAATATGGCCTAAACAATGGGTATAAAACCATGTTTTGGTTTGGTTAAGCACTTTAAAAGCATTCATTCAGAGTTTGAAAAAGCACAAACAATACAAAAGCTAGAGAAGAAAACTAACACTAAATATAAACAATTAACACACTTGCTTAGCTTTAAGACCCAAGCGTGGAGTTTCAACAGCCCTTTTTGACTATATAATACAATAATGTCCTTTGTTTTATTTTCGATTGCAAACAGCTGTAATGGGGGAACAACAAGAAGACAATGTTGTTCTAATTAATTTGCCCATTATCGTGAAAAATGAAATCAACTCGTATCAACCAATTAAATTTGTGGAATAATTAATTTAAATCATCTAGATTTTAAATTTGATAAATCGATTTAATTATGATATTTTTAACCTTAGAGAATATATTAACTCACATTTTCTTTTGATTGATTCAATTGTAATTATAGTTCATTTAGATACTTTTTTTGTCGATGAAATTGTTAATTTGTATGATTCATTAGAAAAAGGGCATAATTGTTGAAAATTTTCCCTTCCGTATAATTATAACAGGATAATTAGTTACTCTTTGAATTTTTTCAAGATATTTTTCACTGAACTATTTATATGAATCATTAAATTTCATTTCTGAAGTACATTTACTTCCCTTTTGGGACAGTTGTGGGCGAGGAGGGATTTGAACCCTTGACATTGTAGTGTTCCCATCAGGTACTCAATTACTACTTTTCCTAACTTTTTCTTGAAATGAGAAAGAAGACAGTACACTTGAATTGTATTGTTTAAGTGGTTATACATATATATTGAGGCGATATGAGGCGAATTCACCTTTGAGTTTATGAGTTTGTGGCCTTAAGTTAATGATGCAGTAATACTTTCATTTACAGTAAAATATTTTTTGACATTAATAAGTTTTTTTCTCAATATATAAAGAAGAATATGCGGCAAAGCTACTAAATTAAAGTGAAACCAAGTTCGCCCATGCCCCTGGATATTATGTTATCAGGTATATTAAAGCTTAAGTAGATAACAGGAAATTACACATGCATTTTATCTTTATTAGAATTTGAACCCCAACGATTCATGATTTTCACTCAAATCATTAATTCACTAATTTCAAGTACTCCATAACCCTAAAACTTTGCAAATAATACTCCTTCCATTTTAAATAAAGGAAAAAAGAATAAATATATTCTCGAACTTTTGAAAACGATAGGTTAATATCCTCCATCATACTTTTCGTCCATCAGATTTCTTGTTGTCTAATAATTAATGCACATTTGGCCCTCCCACTAACGGAACACTCATTTTATACGTGTGGCGCAATTTTAAGCCACAACCCGATTGACCAATTTTTTAACCAAAATTTCAAAAACTCACTCATAAGCCATTTAACCCGCCCGATTCCCACTTGGGAACACACTTTAAAAGGGAGAAATTGGAAGAGAAAAGTAAACATTTTTTGATTTTACGAAACACCACTTAATTATGAAAGATGCGTCACTTATTTCGAAACGGAGATAGTAGTAACTAGTAAGGGAGTGTTTTAACACACTGTGCAAGTGAACTAGTAATCAATGAATGATGGGTAATTATTGGATGAAAATATTTAAAGATGTCTAGTGGATGTTAAATTATGGTTGTTTAATCATAATTTAACAAAAAAAAGAGCAATGTTACGTTCTTGACTTGTTTCCCATGATTGCTTTGTAGCCCACAGTAAACTTATTAATTTCCACAAACGAAGGGTTTCGTTGGTAGGGTAATATTTCATTCCTTTCTTTGTTTAGAAGAGACAGCCTGTTAAAAGTCTTTTGAGAAACCTCCCTTCCTAAGTTTTACTTTTTTCAACGGCTTAAGTAAACAATTTCAATATTAATTAACAACTACCATACGTTTTGTATCATGTTCCTCTTTTTCTTCTAATTAAAAAAGAATGATTATACAGAAATTTGTTGATTAGTACTTCAAACGTACGGTACCAAACATTACAAAAAAAAAAGAAGCTTAATTAATGTCAGAGTACTTAAAGTCACAGAGGCAGATCAAACCATATATATACATTAAGAAATTTATTAAATATTTAATCGTGAACTCAATTTTTTTAACAAGTATTTATGAACTCAATAAGGTAGTAAACTCGTAATAAAAGTTCATACACTTAAAATTGTGGATCTCCATGTCATAAAGAAATAATATACGAAACGAAATATTACGTATTATCTTCCCAATCAACTCCTACTATATTTAAGGGGATTTTTGCGATTTTAAAAAAGAAAAAGTACTTAATTGATGTTACAATATAGAAAAATCATGATATTACACGGTAATGAAATTAAACAGGAACACCCGTCCTCGACGTTTTTTTTTTTTGTCTAGCAAAGTACCATAATCATATATTTAGCATATGACATTTGGAAACTATGTTAAAATGATATTTTTGTAAAATTGGAATTGGACTTACCATTTGCAATCTATCCATGTGAAAGAAAAGGAAAATATGGAAAATTTATTTGTGGGTATTGGGTAACAATAGCACTTTCCTAAAGTTAGATCCAGAAAATCACCAACTCCTTAAATAATAATTGAAGTAATAAAATATTGAATGAAGCCAAATTATACGTGGTCCGTATACAAACGTGTCAACTTATGAAAAAGTAAAACATATTGAATACTTGATTGCATCCTTTTCCTCTCTATGAAAATCCCCTTATATATACCACTCACTCAGTTCTTCTCATAAACCACAAAAATAAACTCTCTTCTAAAGTTTTCTCTTCGGTTTTCATCAATATTTGTCTCTCCTTCTTAAGTGAACAAAACAAAAATTCAAAAGAAAAAATGGATCAAAAATTGCCAGTTATAGCGAAAAAGTTCTGGAAGATAGTCCGCGTGGCTTATTTCATGTTGAGGAAAGGATTATCATCAAAGAGAAAACTAATGTTCGATCTCAACTTATTAATGAAACGTGGTAAGATTGCTGGCAAAGCCGCATTCCAAAATCTAATGTTCCAGGGCCATAATAATGATAATCATGTTCATCAATCAACTTCCAAAGAGTATTACGAGTTCAGCTGCAGTAACAGCCCCTCTTTTCACCTCCCTTTCAACCTCAACAAGCGCATTAATAAGCACAATCACAATGCAGTATCTGTCACTGAGCACGACGACGTTTCAATGATGAACGCTGCCGTTTTGAAGGCATTAGAAATGCTTCAGAGCGAAACAGCATCACCTGCTTTGCCTGGATTCGGGAGGACTCCAACGGTGAGACAATTAAGGATTACAGACTCGCCTTTTCCGGCTGATAACGGTGAAATTATTAGTCACGTTGATGAAAAAGCTGATGAATTCATTTCTCGATTCTACAGAGATTTGAGAAGAGAGACTGCATCTGCTTTTGCTTAATTTTTTTTTCTTTCAAAATTAGCTCATGGCAATAATTATTATGTATAGAAAGAGCTTATGTATGCAGATTGGGAGCTCTGAATACTGCAAATTTATTTTTGGTTTCCATTCTGTCCCGGGATTTATTTATTTTCTTTTCATAATTTTCTCTTTTTATGAAATTGTGAAAATTATTGATGTGATGATACCCGTTTGGTTCTTGCTTACGGTATAATATTTTCTTAATATATCCACCTGTGTCTGTATGACTCCTAATTTCATGTTTTTTGCAATAGTTTCATTGTAAAATACTGAATCTCTATCGACCCGCGGTACTTCCACAATTTTTCTCTTTTTATTTGATCGTCGGCTACTCGTTACAACCTTCTCTTGTATGCTATTTTCGTATTATTTTATATGTCGAATTTTAAGAGTCAAATAAGTCTATTTTTGAAAATATATTTTATATAAATTTTATAAAATTTTGAAATTATCAATTATTGTGACTCATAATACTTTTTACTTAGTTTGTAAATATATAAATTTTATTTCAAAAAGATTAAAAATTTCATACACAATGTTAAACTTTAACTGCTTAACTCTTAAAATATAAAAAATATTATATAAATTGAAACAAATGAGTAATTATTCGTTGGAAAATAAGAATAACAAAAGGTAACATGGAGTAGGTAAATTCATTCTTTTCTTTCGGCCCAAGAAGTATATAATATTCTTCAAATTCATTTTTACTTCATTTTGAATCTTGCATGCCTTTAAAAGTTGTGATTAAACGAGATATTTTATTGTAATATTATACATTTTACTAAGTCCTTCCATCTCTTTTTACTTATTTAATATTAACAATTTATTTGTCATTTTTGAAACGAAAAAATATTTTTTAAAATTATTATACCTTAATTTATTTAGAGAGTTAATATTTTTAAAAAAGGTTAAAACATTTTTAATGATTAAGTGATTTTGGATTATAATAATTAATAGGGATAAAGTGTTAAATTCATTATATTAATTATTATTTTCTTAATGAACGTGTCAAGAAAAAATAAATAAATAAATAGAAACGAGTGAGTATTACATTTTGAAAATTGATTATATTAAAAAGACAATTAATTCTAAGGGTGAAATATGAAAGTAAATAATAATCCAAATTCTGAGTTTTAAATAATAGACAAACAAAAAAGAATAAGGAAAATATTTACTATCCAAGGTTGGAAATGAAAACTTGCTAATTAAAGTTAATTTCATGTAAAATAGGAAAATTATTTAACTTGGAAATTCATTTAAACAGTTAAATTATCAAGTCGACCCTGATTTGCTATTTTGTCAAAATACTCCAAACTATGACAAAGAGAAATTAATGGGCCGATTAACTAATCAAGGCACTAATGAATCAATACGATAATTCCACTAATTTTCCTAAAGCAAAATTGTCTTTTGTTCATAAGTGGAACCATGTTATAGTATTTAAAATATCTGTGGGCTTTCTCTTTTTTATTACTTTACTAATATTTTTTTATAATTATTTTTGTTATATTTAGTGGGTTTTGTAAAGCAACTCCTTTGCTTTTTTATGTTGGTCGTCTAATTGAACCTTAATTGGAAGAAACATCACACTTGATTTCTTATTAAAATTTTATTTTCTTGAGGAACTCTGGTACTGTTTAATTACTATTATATCTTTTTCATAATATTATAAAATTATTATTGAAAAAATAGTGGACTTAAATTATTTATTTATTTATAAATACAAGATAGAAGTTTTTAAGATCATTTTACTCTAATAACTAATTCTTTTTTTTAAAAGTATAAACACATTTGTAATGCAATTTCACAACTACAATGATTTGAAGGAAGCAATTAATTCTTATCACTTGACTCTAAAAAATAAATAACGCCACATGATTTCCTCTCACAGGCCACTTAACATGACTAATTAAAATTTGGACTTATTCAACATAAGAAATCCAATATGTATTCTGCTAGAAATAATTTAAGAAGATGTAATTATATGCAACAATTATATTAATGAAACATCAATATCGGATAAAGAGAGAAGTAATTATTATCAATTTTAAAAATAAAATAAAATTGTGATTTCTTGTATAGAAGGGCTTTTGACAGCTCTAGGACAAGATATTTACAGCTCATCTTCGAGAAGGGTTTTGCAATGTAAATAAATAAAACAGAGAAAAAGCAACAAAAAATTAAAATAAAAAGTGCATATTCAATACGAGTATATATAGTGGGTATAATATTGTGCCTCCTAATCCATTCTATATATGGTTCAACAATAATATGCATGCCAGATGTTATTTGTATATATATATATTCACATTTAGGAGATTGTTTGGATAAGTGTAGTCACTTTAAATCTTCAATAACTAAAAGGATACTCTAAATGATACTCATTACTCTCATCTGTATTTTAATTTATGGGATAGATCTAGCTTTACTTAACAATTTTTATGAATATCTACTAGCTAGACAAAGAAATTGTGAAATTCAAATATATCTTATCTGAAATTAAAGTTGATAAAGTAATTATTATTTAAAAAAGTAGAAAAGAAGTAGAAAAAATGTGTACTTTTTGTTTTCGTTGAGATTTTGCCAAGTTTAATTCACAAATAATTGCATGATCAGTGTGTTTTTATGGCTTTATATGTATTGCTTTTTTTCTTCCTTTCATTTTTCACGAATAAAAGAAAATACAAGCCTTGATTCTTACAACGCATCAAAGAGCTTCAAATTTCATAAATTAAGTTCAACTACTTTGTCTGCTAGATTGAAGAAATAATTCTAAAATAACATAACTTATTTTCTTTCAGATTGTGCCACGTTTCAGAAATTGAATAGTACATCTATATATATATATATATATACTGAGTGTTTATTGACTTTGCAATATATTTGTTAGGGTCCGATATTTTCTTTAAAAAGTATAGAAATTTCACTTTTTAATTTTTTTATCACCATTATTTTCTATAAATTTTATAAATTTTTTATTATTGTGTGTTAGATTAGTGTATCTTGCACATCATCATAGTGTATCATGTACATATATAAATTAAATTAGTGTATCATGTATAACATATAGTGTATCTTACTTAACGATTAATGTATCTCGTGCATCAGATTAATGTATCAGCGCTTATATTATTTTATTCATTTGAGGAATTTCTGTAATTATAAAATTTTAAAGAATAAATAATTATTTTGCATTAAAAGTATGTGATTTCTGTAATTTATCTATATTTTTTAAGTAGTATATAATTAAACTACATTATTTAAAAAATGTTAAAGAAAATAGGAAAAAGGTGTATTTATTTTGTGGAAAAATCTAAGAGTTCAATAATTGAGCACTACCCTCTAAACCCCTAACCCCACCCAAAAAATAACCTCAAAATTCTATCTTTATTGCAATTTGCTTTTGGTGTTCATACCAAAACTTTGCAGGCCGCGATGTCTACACCTTTATATACGTGCGACAATAATTATAAAAAATAAATAAAACTGTTATAAAATTAAGCTCATGGCAATATAAATATAAAGAGATGAAGACAAGAGGAATAAGATGGAAGATAAGACTTTTTTCTTATTTAAGTGTATGCAAGTCTTATGTATCTATATTATAATAGTGAATGAACAACCTATTTATGGAGTGAGAAATCACTCCAAAGGTCACCATATTAAGTATCATAATAAATAGATACATTCTTATCCAAAAAGGTTCATGTAACCTAGTGAATATGAATGGTTGTTCATGTACCAACCTTATGGACTATCCACTCATTCAACGAATTTATAACACTCCCCCTTGGATGTCCATAGATAATGTGCCTCGTTAAAA